TTCGATCAAGGATCGTAGAACAACTCGGCCTACAAGGCCAAGTTGTGCCAGCAACCCGAGTGCTACACTTATTGAACATGGCTTGTGAGACTAGTAAGGGCGAAATAACTTTGCTAGTGAACGTGGCTGGGACCATCCATGAGACCAATTTCCATGTGATCGAGGGCGATATGAGGTATAACGCCCTGTTCGGGAGACTATGGATCCACAATATGAGGGCAGTGCCCTCGACCCTTCACCAGGTTCTAAAATTCTCGACACCAAAGGGAATCAAAACAATTTACTGGGAGCAACCCGCTGCAAAGTTAATGTTTGTTGTTGACGAAGTGATTCCAGTATCGGCACTCTCACCGAGAAGGTGGTCAAATTCGAAGGAAAAACAGGAGGCCAAATAGCAATCACAAACGACGGCCTCGACCCAACTAGAGATGCAGGGGACCGACGAAGATGATGATTATGGGGTCCCTCGATCCTTCATGGTCCCCGATGACTCTGACGCTACCAAATCAACGGTCGAAGAGCTGGAGCAAGTCATACTAATCGAACATTTGCCCGAACGAAAGGTATATCTGGGCACGGGGTTAACTCCCGTGCTCAGGAAAAAACTTATTCAATTTCTTATAGCTAACATGGATTGTTTTGCTTGGTCCCATCTCGACATGACATGGATCCCACCGGAAATAACCACTCATAAACTAAGCTTGGATCCGAAGTTTCATCCGGTGAAGCAGAAAAGGAGACCACAGTCCAAGATCAAGCATTCCTTCATCAAATACGAGGTAACCAAGCTTCTTAAAATAGGGTCCATCCGGGAAGTAAAATACCCTGAATGGTTAGCAAACGTAGTAGTAGTCCCTAAGAAAGGGAACAAACTTAGGATGTGTGTAGATTACAAAGATTTAAATAAAGCATGCCCCGAGGATGCCAAATATCGATCGCATGATCGATGCCACGGCCGGCCACGAGACCCTCAGTTTTCTCGATGCCTATTCCGGGTACAACCAAATACAATGAACCCAGATGATCAGGAAAAGACCTTGTTCATCACTAAGTATGGTACCTACTGTTATAACGTAATGTCATTTGGATTAAAAAATGCTGGAGCCACTTATCAACGCCTAGTAAACCGGATGTTCGAATAACAAATAGGGAAATCTATGGAAGTTTACATTGATGAAATGTTAATTAAGCCCCTGCGAGCAGAGGGCCATTTGAAATATTTGCAGGAAACCTTTAGTATATTGAGAAAATACAACATGAAGTGAACCAGGAAAAATGCGCGTTCGGGGTCGGGTAAGGAAAATTTCTCGGATTCATGGTATCCAACCGAGGAATCGAGATTAACCCCGACAAGATCAAAGCTATCGAGGATATCACGGTAGTAGACAACGTAAAGGCCATACAGAGGTTAACCGAGCGCATAGCCGCCCTGGGGCGATTCATCTCGAGGTCCTCAGATAAGAGCCATTGATTTTTCTCGTTGCTGAAGAAGAAAAATAACTTCACATCGACTCTGGAATGCCAGGAGGCCTTGGAAGATCTAAAACGATACTTATCGAGCCCGCCGCTGCTTCACACGCCGAGGGAAGACGAACAACTGTACTTATATTTGGCAGTATCGGAGATAGCGGTAAGTGGAGTCCTAGTCTGGGAAGAACAAGGTACGCAATTTCTGATTTATTATGTTAGCCGAACCTTGGGCGAGGCCGAAACTAGATATTCCCACCTAGAAATATCGGTGATCACTTTGATAAGCGCCTCTAGGAAACTAAAAACGTACTTTCAATGTCACCCCATATGTGTTGTAATAACTTATCCATTGTGAAATATTATGCAAAAACCCTCGGATATGCATTATCTTCGAATATCAACTCTAGCGAGGAAACTACTTCATAAAGGAAGGGTCTCGATAGATAGGATTTATTGTAAGGGCCAAATGGTCAAAACGAACCGTGCCCACGTAGGTTTCTCGAGCCCTGGCATAAAACATGTACACATGTATGACTGTTTTGATCGAGAATAAAGAGAAGTACTTTCCTTGTAATCATCTTATGTTTTAAAAAATTTCCTCTTTGCATCCCTTAAAGAGCTTCGTACTTCCGAAAATAACGAGCCCAAGGGCAATACATAACCGGATATGCCAGGGCTCGATAGATAGGATTTATGTCAGGGCTCGAGCAATCTACGTTAGACCATTTGGCCCTTACAATAAATCCTATCTATCGAGACCCTTCCTTTATGAAGTAGTTTCCTCGCTAGAGTTGATATTCGAAGATAATGCATATCCGAGGGTAGCCCCCTAGTATTCGAGGTTGATTGCAAAGGAACCTCGGATATTGTTGAATTGATCTTCGGTGCCGATTCTAATCGAGCTTGATTCTAAGTTAGCGCGATTCATTGTTGCCTCGTTAAAACCTCGCCGAAAACCCATTTGGGACAAAACCGGTGTAAGGAAAAAAGAGTGCAACACATGCTTTCAGACCTAAAGACTTCGTGCCGTTCGCCGAAAAATCCATTGTCGTTTCTCGTTGACGACCTGCAAGTGTTAGTCTGAAAAAAGGAAATGAAATGGGATCGTACCTTAGCAGTAATACCGTTTTAGGTGAGATATATTCCAATTACTCGATAGTTGTTCTCCATTCATAGTTCCAAGCTTGTAGGACCCTTTCCCAGTGACCTCGAGAATCTGGTACGGTCTTTCCTAGGAGTGGGCATAAAATCCGAAAGATCAAATTTCGAACCTAACCAAATTAATTTGGTATATCGATTTCAATATTTTGGTTTATTTCGGTACAGATATTTCGGTATTTCGGTACGGTATACGGTATTGGATTTTTGATATTTCGGTATTTCGGTATACCGAAATAGTTTAGTCCAAGGCCATTTTATTTCTATTTTTTAGCCCAAGAACCTTAAGCCCACACCCCAAAAGTCCAAAACCCCTAATTCCCTAATCCCTTACCCTTAGCATAGCATGGCTTAAGACCAAATATTAACCCCGTTAAAGGGGCCCTTTGCCGTTTGCACAACCATTGTAGAAAAAGTATATCTTTCACCAAATATTTTTTGGTAAGAACTCAAGAGGAGCTCAACTACAGCAAGTAAATACCTAGTGCAAAGGTGAAATCGATGGGTCATTCATTCATATCAGAGACTTCTCAGCTTACACAAAAGGCAGGTGCGTTCCATACCATTAATGAATTGCCTGGTGGAATCTCAAACAACATGGATTACATTAGTCAATGGAGTGGGAAGACAGTGAAGATTATTTGGTTTAACCGAAACCGTACTAAACCAAAATAAGAAATACTGAACCGTACCAAATTAATTTGGTACGGTATTTGGTATACACAATTGATAAACCGAAATTCCTAATACCAAACCGAAATACCGAATGCCCACCCCTAGTTATACCTCATATCGCCCTCGATCACATGGAAATTGGTCTCCTGGATGGTCCCGGCCACGTTCACTGGCAAAGTTATTTCGCCCTTACTAGTCTCACAAGTCATGTTCAATAAGTTTAGCACTCGGGTTGCGGGCACAACTTGGCCCTGTAGGTCGAGCTGTTCTACGATCCTTGATCGAATGATATTGGCCGAACTACCTGGATCAATTAACACACATTTAACTCGAGTCTTATTCATTAGTACAAATATTACCAGTGCATCGTTATAGGGTTGCATGATTCCATCTACGTCCTCATCGTTGAAGGACAAGGTTCCATCTGGTACGTAATCCCGAGTTTGTTTCTCCCTTGTGATCGACACCTTGGTGCATTTTAACACTGACCCTTAGGGAACATCGACCCCTCCGACAATCATGTGAATGATGTGTTGAGGTTCTTCTTGTTTGTTTTGTTTGTTGGAATTTCTGTCTCTGAAATGATTCTTAGCTCGATCACTCAGAAACTCCCGAAGGTGCCCGTCGTTGAATAACTGGGCTACTTCTTCTCTCAACTGTCTACAATCTTCCGTTTTGTGGCCATGGGTGCCATGCTATTTACACATTTGGTTGGGATTTCTCTGGGCTGGATAAGTCTGCAGAGGTCGAGGCCATTTAGTATCTTTGATGCGTCCGATAGCCGATACGATGGCAGTTGCGTCAACATTGAAGTTATATTCTGACAATCGTGGTGCTTCTTTAGGTCTGATATGCCTGTCGAAGCCATTCTTGCTCATGAGCCCTCGAGAGCTCTGACCTCGGTCATTTCTCCTTTCACTTCGTACAGGGTTTCGCCCAGATCCGTTGCTCCTACGATCTCCATTATATGGCTGGTATCGATCCCTGTTCAACCTAGGTTCTCGATCAATGTCCCTATTGATTCTGTCAACGGGCCTGATAGGATAAACGGACCCGCAAGGAGCTCCCCGCAGGTCGTCTTCGACTCTAATCTTCGATTGATACCGATTATGTAAATAGGCCCAGGTAACAGCCGGGTATTCAATCAAGTTCTGCTTCAGCTGTTGTGAAGCCACTGAGCTTCGTACATTGAGTCCTTGAGTGAAAGCTTGAGCAGCCCAATCATCGGCGACCTGTGGTAGATTCATTCGTTCCTTTTGGAACCGAGACACAAACTCTCTAAGCATCTCGTTATCTTTCTGTCTTACCTTGAAAAGGTCCGACTTTCCAGTCTCGACATTTATGGCTCCGGTGTGTGCCTTTACAAAAACATCTGCAAGCATAGCAAAAAAATCAATGTATTTGGCCTATTTCTTTCCCCCGGAAAAGGAGGAGGAGGATTAATCTTTTAAAATTGCAACACTTCCCTATATCTTTTAAATGCAACTTCTTTAAAGGGTTAACCTCTTATAAAGAAGAAGGGTCGGTCTTTAAAAAATGCAACTCTTCCCTGCGTTATTTCTTGAACTCTCTTACTTCATCACTTGCTTCCAACATGTAAACATAATATTCACTTTGTACTACTAGCCACAATCACCAAAAATCGTCATCCTTTCGCCCTCCAACATTATTACCTTTAATTGTTATGTCAACCAACAGAAAAAAAAAAAGTTTTTTCAATCAACACTAAAAATGAGCAAAGTATAAACAGAAGAACATATTTAACTCTCAAAAAAAGGAATAGAAGAAGAATCACTTTTAACTTAACAAAATTTGAAATTCTCCCCTTTCATCCATAGCAGATATTGTAGTACCGGGATGTCCTTGAATTTGTTGTTTTCACTTTCTTATATGACTTAGAACTAGACTTATTATCACCAGCCTTATTCCACTGCTTGTAGTACTACAATGAACTCTTCTATTGGCCTCTAGTCAGATACACTACGAAGAACCCTGAAGTCAGCTTAACTTTCAGCTTAACCCAATCCAGTGTCATCTTTTCACCCATCTGTCTGAGAAGTCGTCCGTTGGTCCAATGATAGCAACTGGAGTGCAGTCCACAATGGTTCTTTCACACACATTTACTTATACCACATCTTAATTAAGAACAATTTCTTCGCCCATGTTCACCTTAGAATAGTTCTACCATGCACAAGTGAAAAGGCTGATAGTGCCGAGTTCCTTCTCTGAAGCAACACTACATCCTCCTTCTATGGGGATTGACCTCGACTTGTTGTTTGATTGAATAGCTTTCTATTCTTCACTGGCCATCAATCTGTTTCTGCCCCAATTGGATATCCTATTGCAGGTGAAAAAAGAAGATTCAGCAAGTAAGACAGCTAGCTTTTCATCTGCCATGCGGCCAAACATATACTGAATAGGTACAAGCAAATGATACAATAAATTCGGAGGTACTCCTTAAATTAAGTTCTTATATCCTTACCCAACTTTGATTGTAGAAACTCCAATCAGCTTTTTCAAAATTCTCTTCTAAAATTATTCATAGAAAGATACACACATATCCATGTCATATACTTGCTTACTTTTTTCTGGCCAAAAATTCTCAAGGGCCAATGGCGCATGGTTCAAAACTTAGTGGATAAAGGGACCCGCTCATCTACCATTCTCCACTTAAGTACATGCATGCATTTTCTGTGGCAGGATTCGAACCCATGACATTCGCCTAACCCACACATCACGTGTGCTGCACTGTTAACACTAAACAAAGCCCTCATCTCAGAGCACTTGCCTAGTTAAAAAGAGAAAAACCAAAACTAATAAAGTATTTAGCAAATGTAGTTGCTTAAAACAATAATTTTTATTTTCACGAGAGTTGTGGACATAACTAAAAAATACCAAAATTGCTTCCCCGTACTTAAAAAAATACATGTCTTGACAAGCTATGAGACTGAGAAAAGGAGTATGAATATTTCCAAAAAAAAAATTTAAAAATAGAAGTATTTCATTAATGTGGCACCCATGGTGGCGCATTACCTTTATCAAAAGAAGAAACTAACATGGTGTGGCACTACAGAAGTATATAAATACAACAAAGTTGTCTCACATCAGAAGTATAAATGGAATAAAAATTTTAACCCTCCAGAAAAAGGTTTTCTACACCTCATAAATTCTTCTAATTCTTCCCTCCAAATCAACCAAAAAATACAAAAAGGTCAATCTCCAAAAGTTCTTTTCTTCCCGCGTTCAACTTTCTTTCCCTCCAACTTGCTACGATTTCTTGTTGCAGAAGATCATGGTTTTACTAGCACACAATCAGACACAAAGCAAATAGAGAAAAAGAAATAATACAAGGATTTAACGAGATTCGACCAAGCCTGCGTCCTCAGGGCAGAAGCGGAGAGTTTTTCATTATAAATGCGAAGAATAGTACATAGATCCCCTATGACAACCGCTTTATATAGATCACAAGTATTCAGCCAAGCTTTTGGTAAAGGTTGATTTATGTGAAGAAATTGCAGTGGAGTGGTGATAGTAGATTTCTAATTTGGTGGAGATGAGGAACGAGTTGAAGAAAGTGATGGAGCAGTGAAGGAGATCGGGTCGACCGACAGAGAGGTGATGGAGGTTGTGGTTGTTGGGTGGTATCTGGTCTAGTTTTGAGGTGGTGGTTCCGATTTTTCTAGTGGTTTCAATTTTCCGGTGGAATCTGGTTGAGGAGGTGAAAAGGAGAGGAGATGCTACGATAGTTACTATGAAAGCCATCAACAGTGATGAAACTGGTGGTTCTTTTCTCATTGCTGATGTCGGGTTGGGGTATTGATGGGTTTAATAGTTGTTTTGCGGGATGATGGTTGTCTTTTTTGGTTGAAGGATGGTGTTGGCAAGAAAGAGTGGCCATGGAATCTCAGACATACTGGATGGGAGGTGGCAGTGAGGTAGTGAAGGTGCTCTTGCCTCTTTTAAGGGGTTTCAGATTTATGGTGGTATTGGGGGTGGGGGAGGGAAATGGGGATAGGAGGTGGAGAGGGGAGCTGGTGAAAATAGATGGGTTAAAATTTCGCCACGTGGGGACACATGGCAATCCCAGGTGTTAATAAGTGTAATTAGAAGTTAATTTGAACAAATAATGCTACGTCTCGAAATAAGGGTATAGGTGAGCTCTTTTCATGACAGGGCCTCATTTTGATCCCAACTATTAATGGAGGGAAAAGTTAGACCTTTCGGCATAATTTACGGGCAAATTTGGACCTTTTCCTACAGTCACGGCTGCCAAGACAACAACATTTGAATGCTTGTATGAGGAGCTGGGGGGTAGAGGTGGTGACAAGAAACTGCTCCGGTTAGCCGAGGCTAGAAGAGAAAGGCTTGGGACCTGGACCAAGTGAGGTGCATCAAAGACGAGGAATGTAAGGTCTTGGTAGAGGCGTCCTGTATTAGGCGAAGGTGGCGGACGTACTTTCATAAACTCTTGAACGAGGATGGGATTGGATCATTGAGCTTGGGAAGTTGGAAGACTCGGAAAGCCAGCGCGATTTCGGGTTTTGTAGACGTATTAAGGTTGAGGAGGTTATGCGAAAGATGATGAGGGGTAGGGCGACCGGACCAGACGAGATTCCGGTAAAATTTTGGCAGAACGCGGGCTGGGCAGGCTTGGAGTGGCTTACTGATTTGTTTAATGTTATTTTTAGGACGAAGAGGATGCCCAAAGAGTGGAGGCGGAGTTTGATAGTGTCGTTGTACAAGTACAAGGGTGATATCCAGAATTGCAATAACTATAGAGGTATCAAGCTACTGAGTCACACCATGAAAGTTTGGGAGAGGGTGGTAGAGAAGAGGGTGAGAAGGATTGTGTCTGTTTCGGAGAACCAGTTCGATTTCATGCCAGGGCGGTCGACTACAAAAGCCATTCATCTGGTAAGTAGGTTGATGGAACAGTATAGGGTGAGGAAGGAGGACTTGCATATGGTATTTATTGACTAAGAAAAAGCCTACGATATAGTCCCTGGGGAGGTTTTATGGAGATGTTTGGAGATTAGCGGTGTCCCGGTAACGTACATTAGGGTGATTAAGGACATGTACGATAGAGCTAAGACTCGGGTGAGGACCGTAGGAGGTGACTCGGACTATTTCCCAATGGAGATGGGGTTGAATCAAGGATCAACTCTTAACCCATTTTTATTTGCCCTGGCGATGGATGTGTTGACGCGACACATTCAAGGAGAGGTGCCATGGTATGTTATTTGCAAATGACATAGTGCCGATTGATGAGATGCGTTGTGGGGTTAATGCTAGGCTAGAGGTGTGGAGACAGACCCTGGAGTCTAAAGGTTTCAAGTTGAGCAGGATGACGACAGAGTACTTGGAGTGTAAGTTTAGTGTTGGGGCTCATGAAGCAGAAGTGCACGTGAAGTTGGATACACAAGTCATCCCCCAGAGAGATCGTTTCAAATATCTTGGGTCTGTGATACAGGGTAACGGGGAGATCGATGAGGATGTCGCACATCGTATTGGAGTGGAATGGATGAAATGGAGGCTCGTTTCTGGTGTTTTGTGTGACAAGAATGTGCCACCTAGATGTAAGGGCAAATTCTATAAAGCGGTAGTTAGACCGTCCATGTTGTATGGAGCCGAGTGTTGGCCATTCAAGAAATCCCATGTTCAGAAGTTGAAAGCAGCGGAAATGAGGATGCTGAGATGGATGTGTGGGCATACCAGGAGAGATAAGATTAGGAACGAGTATATTAGGGACAAGTTAGGTGTGGCTCCTATAGAAGATAAGTTGCGAGAATCAAGGCTGAGATAGTTCGGACATGTGAAGAGGAAAGACCCTGAATCCCCGATTAGGAGGTGCGAAAGGATGACCATGGCGGGTCAGAGGAGGGATAGAGGAAGGCCTAATAAGTACTGGGGTGAGGTAATTAGGCAGGACATGACGCTACTTCAGCTTACCGAGGACATGACCCTCGATAGGAGGGTGTGGAGGTCGAGGATTAGGGTTGTGGGTGGACAGACAGTTTAGAGTTTCGTCTAGGCATCCTAATAGTATTAGTACTAGTCTTGTATTTTTCTATGCCTAGCCCATTGCTATTTCATATTGTGTCATTATTTCCAGCAAGACTGAACCTATTTTTATAGTCTCGTATTCTTAGATATATGTTGTTGCACGTATCTTCATTTGTGCCCATGTCTAATTACCTGGTTGTTGCTACTGTCTGTTTATTGCTTCATTTTCACTTCTTTTGAGCAGAGGGTCTTTCGGAAATAGCCTCTCTACCTTCATTAGGTAGGGGTAAGGTCTGCGTACACTTCACCCTCCCCATACCCCACTTGTGGGATTTCACTGGGCTTGTTATTGTTGTTGTTATTCCTTCTTGTTTTAGTAGCTGGTACAATGTAGGTGCTTGGTATGAAAAGGTAAAAGCATGGTCAAATTGGGTGGGTCGCGCTGTGATCTATTAGCTATTACTTAGTGCATCTTGATCCAATTCATCTTGTCTAAACAAACTTTGGACATGTTGCGCATGACCTTCTTATAGCCTTAACTCATTTAACCCGACCAAATTTGACGGACTGGCCCATTTGACACCCTAGGACTGAAGATGTACTTTTGAAATATCAACATGACCCAAAATGGTCAAACCATGACATATGAATTGCGATATGAAGAGTATATCCGAAGTTGTATGTTGGCTTCCGGAACCATTTATTATAAACATTAAAATAGAACTGTATAACAATTGTGAAACCATTAAGCTGTAGACGAGGACTAGGGAATTAGATATCTTCACTGGACAAAAGAAATTTCATAAATAAGCATATATTAAAGGCAGTAGGTACAGCATCATATGCACTAAAAGGGAGCAACCACATTTTCCTCCACCCAAATTATCCTCAAGGTAAGATGCTTTAACAGAAAAAACAACTAAAAGTTACAGAAAAAATGGGAATACACAAGAGAGCACATAACAGTACAAAAAGTACAACTTATATAATGCATAGGGAGAACATCTATACACCTAAATGAAAATACTAACACTTAATAGCCGTCCCTTTTTTTTCCCAACAACATAATTCCACTTCTACCTGTCCCTTCTGTTAGTACGGTAAACAATGATCTAATCGGAGTTCCACACTTCAAAGGAAGTCTTAAGAAATTTTCTTCATTAAATTTTCAAACATGTATCATACAAAGGTAAGAAGAAATGAGTGGTGTAACATACATACCAGGAAAAGAAAGATATGTTCCCTATTTATCTGTTAGAAACAGCCATCATGCAGCCATTTCCTTGTCGCAAATGCCAAAGCCACCACAGATGATCAGCATTTATATTACCAAGAGTTATGCAGCGGCCACCTAAACTGCAACTTCTATGTGTTTCTGTTCAAAATATTGTTGTGTTTGAATTATGCAAATACTCATAGGTTCAAGCACTTTCCCGAGATCTGAGTCTGCAATCAGTGGCGAAGCCAGGAAATTCAATAAGAAATTTGAACACCCTTTGCCAGTGGGCTATGCAAGGGTGTTCAAAGTCTATTTTTAATCAATAACAAGTAGTATTTTACCTTATACGTACTATAATTTTTTGGCGAAGGGTGGTCAGTTGGGCCAACATAGATTCGACTGTGTCTGCAATATTTGGCTCCAGTAAAGTATTGGTCTGACAGCAATCAAAATATTGTTGCAAAAGTTCCAAATCAACAAGCAGGCTGTGTCTACATGTTTTAGTGACAATAGCCTTGGCCAACCTTGTTACAAGTTAGTTCTCATCCATACTTTGAAGCAGAATGGAATAGAAAATTTCTTTCCTTCAGAAGATTAAGTTGTCTGGCAGCCCATTCTCCTAACCTTGTATTCCCGTGCTCTTTGGAAGAGTCAAAAACTCTTGCTAACATAGGGGTTGTTGGTTGAAATGGCATCTTCTTAACAAAATCTTCAAGCTCGTCAAAGAATCCATACAGACCATACAGCTTAATCATAGATTCATAATGCTCCGAACGTGGTATAATAAAGTAATCACCACTCATTGAATTGAAAAGCAGCCTACCCAATTTCACACAACCGTGAGAAATGCATGCAAGCAATACAGCTTGGAAGGTAGTACCATCTGGCTTCACACCGTCCTCCTTCATTACCTCAAACAACTGAAATAATATTTCACTTCGTTTATTATAATAACATCCCAGCATCAGAGAATTCCAGAGAACAACATCTTTCACAGGAGTCTCAATGAAAACATTCAGTGAATAGTCAAGACAACGACATTTGGAATACATGTCAACCAAAGCTCCTTTAATCACGATATCCAAATCATAACCATTTCTAATCATAAATCCATGGATTTGTTTACCATGTTCAAGAGCAAAGATATTTGCACAACCCGCCAAGAGAGTAGCAAAAGTGAATTTACTAGGTGTTGCCTCTCCTAGCATTTCCCAGAAAATTAATAAAGCTTCTTCACTCATCCTATGACGAGCATAGCTACTCAACAAAGCATTCCAAGAAACCATATCTCGAAAATGACTCATTTCATAAAACCAAGCTCTAGCCCTTCTCAAGTTCCCACATTTTCCATACATATCAAGAAGTGCATTGGCAACGGATAAGTTTGAGTAGAAACGATGCCTATATATATATCCATGAACCTGCTTTCCCAACTCAACATCAGAAAGCCCTGCAGAAACATTTAGGATCAAACTGAGAGTCACATGATCAATGTCCCTCGTATCTTTGCACATTAAAACAATTAACTCCATTGCTTCATCCCATTGTGAACTACGCGCATATCCTGCTAGCATTGCATTCCATGAAACCATATTGCGTTCAGGCATCCTATCAAAAAGCTCCCTTGCTTGCCTGGTTTTCCCACTCATGGCATATCCTGACACCATAGAAGTCCAATGAATCAAATTTTTAGGGGATAGCAGGTCAAACATCGTTCGAGCACTCACTAAATCCCCACATTTGACATACACATCAATCAGAGAGGATGAAACCACCTCATCCTCTTCATAATTAATCTTGATTGTAAATCCATGACTTTGAATTCCTTCACGAAATCCTCCAAAACTAGAACAAGCAACTAGAGCATTTGAGACTGTAAATGTCAGCGGCCTCGCATTAAGACTAATCATTTTGAAAAACAGAAAGACAGCCTCTTTTCCATTACCCATCTCAAGATACCTCCTAACAATCACATTCCAAGAAACAGCATTTGGACTCTCAATTTCATCAAACATTCTCCGCGCATCACCCATTCTCCTACACTTGCCATACACATCCACAAGTGAACTCCCTAAAATCACGTTACCGCCAAAACCATATTTCAAAATGAGGGCATGCACCTGTCTAGAAAGCCAAAATGCCAAGGTAGAGGCACACGAAGCAAGAACACTTGCAAAAGTGACCTCAGCAGCAAAAATCCCAGACTTATGCATATCAGAGAAAACGCCCAATGCCTTCCCGGAATACCCATTTTGTGAATAAGCAGTAATCATAGCATTCCAAGACCCACCATCTCTTTGAGGCATTTCATCAAACAGCTCTCGAGCGTCAGCCAAACACCCACACTTACCGTACGCCTCAATGGCTCGATTGAGCAAGAACACAGGTGGGGTTGGGGCGAAGCTGACCAAATGGGACTCCACTTTACGGACTTCGACAATGGCCTTCTTAGAGGCAGAGATTCTGAAGAGATGAGCATAGAGATCAAAAGGGAAAGGTACTGGAGCTGAGAATAAAACAGAGACGGCCTTTCCAAGTCGGCCTAAACGAAGGTGGTTGAGGATTGTGGTAGTTAAGGCTTTTGCTTCTTGAGACCTTGGTGCTTTGGAGGTGGTGGGTTCGCCATTGATGAGATGGTTCAGAACGGAGGCTGCGTTTATGCCCATGCAAGTCGCATGGAAAACTGAATTCTTACTGTCAGTTTAGAGACTCAAAAATATAGTAATACCATTTCATTGACAGCGCTAGATTCGGTTTTGACTGTGGCGAAAAATTAATTAACATCACTTCTCACTAGCTTAGATGATTTGTCTACTTAATAGACAAGTCGTTGTAGGCTGTACCCTACTTTTCTGTGCCCCCACCTTACTTTCATGTACGGAATGCAAGTAAGCAAATTGAAAATAGTTAATCACCCGTATTATTCACAAAAAAATAGGTTACATAATGAACTTTTTAAAAATAGATCAAATATAGATAAGAAATATATTATCCATTTAAAAAATGGGTAACCAATTGATAACTAACGGATTTAACTTTTACATGTGTAAAGACTCAAATTGAGGGTTTCTCAAATTTGGGAGACTAAGAATTCTCCCTAAAGTGATCATATATAAAAATACGTAGACAACATGATTACCCATATTATCTGTCGGTTAATCCACTTTTTATCTGTATTAAATATGGATCGGGTCGGATTATTTCTCCATTTTTTCATTACCCGTTTTCGATTCGTCCCATATCCGACTCGCCCGTTTGACACCCCTAAATGTAAGACAACAAAGTGAAAGGTGTTACACTCCATTATCTATTTCGGGGGCGCCATGAATATCTTATTCTAGGACGTGTGTAGATATTATTTTTGTCGTGGTAGATCATCTTTCAAAAATGACACACTTTATTTTGTCATAAAAGTGATGGGTCTTGTTATAAAATAAAAACTGTAAAGTAAATAAATCGAAGACAAATATAGAGAGAGATTGATATATTATTCAATTTCAAACTAATGAACATAATGAACTGAAATCTCTTCTATTTATAAAAGAAAGGAAGTAGTTGCGAGACTTTTCAGGAAGCAGCTGCAAGGCTTTTCAGGAAGCATCTGCGAGGCTTTTCTTGAGTTGCTTGTAAGTTGTCTGTATGAGCTGCTCGCAACATGCCTGTTTAATAAGAAGATGTTGCAAGCCATTTTATTGAGTTGCTTGCAACCTGCCTGCATCAGCTGCTTGTAGATAAACTTCAATGGAGTACTAAATGGATAGCCTTCTTCAGGAAGATTATCTACAACAGAGTAATAAATGGACATCCACAATAATACTTTCATAACACTCCCCCTTTGATGTTCATTATTAAGTGCCTCGTTAAGACCTTATTAGAAAAAATCCCGTGGGAAAAAAATCCCAGTCAAGGAAAAAGTATACTAATAATATACATAGCAAGTTGCCTCATTAAAAAGCTTACCATGAAAACCCAATGGGAAAAAACCCGGGCAAGGAAAAAATAGTACAGTGCATACTTTACTCCCCTGATAAAGACGTTTTTTTTCAAATACCTAAGTCTCCGCATTCCAATCTTGTATAACATCTTCTTGAAGGTTGTAGTTGGCAAAGACTTGGTGAACAAATCTGGCTGATTTTCAGTTGAACAGGTTTGTTGCACATCAATCTCACCATTTCTTTCTGACCATCATGAGTGTAGAATAATTTTGGTGAAATGTGTTTCGTTCTATCTCATTTTATAAATTCTTCCTTCAATTGGGCTATGCATGCAGCATTGTCTTCGCATAAAATTGTGGTCTTCTATCACATTCCAAACCACATTTTTCTCGAATGAAATGAATCACTGATCTCAACCATGCGCATTCCCTACTTGCTCCACATGTAAACACGTAGCCGGGTTGGGATCGAGCTTTATAAGGATCAAATATATAACCTGCATCTGCATAACCAACAAGATCTGCACTACCTTTATTTGCATAAAGCAAACTCATATCAAGAGTTCCCTTTAAATATCACAATATATGCTTAATCCAGTTCCAATGTCTCCGTGTAGGAGAAGAGATATATCTTGCTAGTAAATAAACAGAAAATGTTATGTCAGGCCCTCTAACATTAGCAAGATATATAAGTGCACCAATTGCACTAAGATAGGATATTTCAAGATCAAAGAGTTCCTCATCCTCTTCTGGAGGTCGGAACAAATCTTTATTCACTTCAAGTGATCAAACAATCATTGGTGTACTCAATGGGTGTGCTTTGTCTATGTAAAAGCATTTTAAGACCCCTTTTGTATAGGCGGATTGATGGATAAAGATTCTATATGCTAAATGTTCAATTTGTATACCAAGACAAAGTTTTGTCTTTCCAAGATCTTTCATCTCAAATTCTTTCTTAAGATATTCAATTGTCTTTTGGGGCTATTCTGGGGTTCCAACAAGATTTATGTCATCAACATAAACAACAAGTATAACAAATTCAGATGGGACAAATGACATCACTTACGTAACCTTCTTTCAGCAAATATTCATTAAGACGATTATACCACATGTGCCCAGATTCCTTTAAACCGTACAATAACCTTTATAACCTGACCGAGTACATTTCTCGAGACTTTGAACTATATGCTTCGGGCATTTTAAATCCTTCAGAGATTTTTATAGAGATTTAATCAAATGAGTCATATAGGTTATGGCTTGCATTTAAATGACATGAAATCTTCGGGTGTCTGGACTGCAGGTCCGATCCTCACAATCTTTTATAATATTTTGCACTATATTATATCAAATAGACCGTAGACTATCATTTCGTATCGGTTCGCAAGCAACATAACTTGTTGAGATCTCATCACTTTCTTTATTCTCAGGTACCTGAACTTCTTCTGGAGTTTTATGAAACGTTATGTCGTGGGATCTTCTAGAGCTTATTTCCTCCTTATTATGATCATTTTGATCATTTGATCCTATCCTTTCAAGGATTGTTACCTTTGGAACCGATTGGTCTACCATGCTTTATGCGTACAATAAACTCTATCCTTTAGGGACTTTAATTTTAATAGGAGCATTTGCAGCTGAATTATGATATTTTATTTTATTTTGGATCAACAAATGATTCTAGCATTTGACTTGAATTATATTCTGAATGAGGATCGCACTAATGATAATTCGATTCATATAACATATTTTTCAACTGCTTATTCCATCCCCCTAGTGTTAGAAAAACTAACATATATCCCAAATCTTCTTTAGGAAACCTATCTTTGTGATTTGTGGTAGAGAAATTAATCATATACCACGCATCAAAAGTTATTAGATAGTAAAAATATTTGATTTCTGATTCTAAACCAATTGTGAGGGGAGGAATTATCATATATTGTTGGTCTGATACATACAAGTGTTGTTGTATGCAATTTAGAAAATCTTAGACCAACACATGAAGTTTTGTTCTCATAAGCAATAGTTTAGCCATTAATAGGAGGTATTCAATGCTAAACCAGTGTTATCAAGATGAACTGTCTTGATTTCATAATCTGAAAATTATGCTCTTAATTGATAAAAGCAATTTCAAATGCCAAACTGCAGGTTGACAATAATCGCGCGTGTAACCATCTCATATAGGCATCTCTAAGTGGTTCACATGATAGGTGAATGGGCCCATATTCACTTTTTATATATTTCAGAATTAGGGATCTTAGTCCCAACTTTAGTTAGTATAATCATATTATTATGAGAACAAGCAACACAAGAGAATTCTTGAAGAATCTTCTAGTTCTTCAATATATGCTTATCAGAATTCTCAATTAGCTCATCATATTTAAACCAGATAGAAAATAAAAACTTCCAGTTTATTATGGCATGTGCTATATTTTAGTAAACTTCTGATTTACTATGGCATAAACTTTTATATCAGTAAACTTCTGATTTACTATGGCTACTTTTGTATCAGTAAATTTCTGATTTACTGTAGCTACTTTTGCCTCAGTAAAAATTTCTAGTTTACTGTGGCTGCTACGTGATGTAGTACAAATTGAAGAATAAGGCGGGTAGCTTCTCACATACATATTTACCCCCTATGATTGTGAAAATATGAAGATTTTCAATCATTTATAGTCTCAGTATGATTGTCATTTGTATTAGTAAACTTCGAGTTTATCATAACATATGTTTTGACCACAATAATGACAAATAAGCTCTTCGGGAGCCTTCAATTTATTGTCCACAATCAAATATTATTCAGACACTACTTGTGTCATGTGTCTTCTAGACAAACAGTTAGCTCTTCGGGAGCTTTTGATAAATTTTATACTACCAAATATTGTTCAGACACTTATGGTGTCATGAGAGAAAATCATAATCAAATGAACAATATAAAGCCAATTCTAAATTTAAAAATGGCAAAAATTAAGAATTTTAATATTTCTACCACTAACTTTGTGACAAATATCTCCTTCGAGGAGAAATACCATTAACATTAGAATATTTTGTATCAATGCGGTAACCACATAGTCATTGCATCCTTTAAGGAAAGATACACGAGTTGTTATTTCCTTCGGGATACTCAATAACTAACCATAATATATTAATGTGGTTAGAATGATACTTAATAAAATTATCCATAATGATTTACGTACAACAGGTATGTGCGGCAATGATCTTTATGCCACAAAAATAATATTTATATCATCTGTTATTCTAGCTCATCAGGAGGTGAGTTATGATATTTCTTCATTCACTCCAGGGAATGAAAATGTGCTTAAAAGTAACTTTGAATAGGTCATTATTTTATTTAAGCACAGAAAGACACAGTTTCATAATATTTTCCTGCTTCATGAAAAAAATTCAATTTTTTTTACTACTTCAAGAGCAAATTTAAAATACGAAATATTGAGTATATATTCTCTCAATCATATTATCTCTTTTGGAGGTGAATCGTAGTATATTTACGTTAAGAGCGCGTTCATATTTACAAGCTTTATTAATATTGTCACATTCACTTCAGGGAATAGATTAATATTATCAAAAGTTCTCTTCCTTCAGGAGATGGAATAATTATCTGAACGTGCAATAACCACATTAAATTGTGATGGCGTCTGACCTCTTTTAATATATTTGCTACTTCAAGAGAAAATCGAGGTATGTATGTAATATAAAGAGATTTTCTCTAACTTATCTTCATTGTAACCATAGCAAGCCTAAATTATCAATTCTGGTGGTCATATGCATATACCACTTCTGGTGGTTAACAAAATTTAGTTACAATGAGATATACGAAAC